ACCTGTTTAAAGCAAGCATTAAACATATATCTTTATATACTAACAGCAAACTATTGTAAATGCAATTCAAAAATCCACTGTGTTTACAGCAGCACAAAAAAATAATTATGAATAAATCTTAACAAAAGATCTTCACATTAGAAACTACAAAAGATAGTTGAAAGTAATTAAAGAATTCCTAAATAAACAAAGAAATATACCATGTTCATGGATCAGAGGATTCAATATTAATGTAACAAATCTCCTCAAACTGTGGTATTATTAAAGGATATATATATAGATCAATGAAATTGAATAAGTCTAGAAACAGACCCATAAACATACAGTCAACTTGACAAAAGTGCCAATGTGATCCAATGGAGAAAGAGTCATTTTTGCCATAAGTACTGCTGTAGCAATTAGACACTGGACATCCGTATTAAGAAAAAAAAAAGGGGGGCGCCTGGGTGGCTCAGTTGGTTAAGCGACTGCCTTCGGCTCAGGTCATGATCCTGGAGTCCTGGGATCGAGTCCCGCATCAGGCTCCCTGCTCAGCAGGGAGTCTGCTTCTCCTTCTGACCCTCCCCCCTCTCATGCTCTCTATCTCATTCTCTCTCTCAAATAAATAAATAAAATCTTTAAAGAAAGAAAAAAAAAAGGACTATTGATCCTAAAGTCACACCATATGCATAAATTAACTTGAATTGGGTCATAGTCCTACATGTAAAACCTAAAATTATAAAACTTTTGGAAAAGAACATCAGCAAATATTTGTGTCCTCAAGGTAGACAAAGATATTTCAGAAAGGACACAAAAAGTATGGACCCAAGGAAAAAAAATTCATGCTAAGGTGCCAGCAGTTTTAACCATCATTGCTTTTGCATCATGAATTAAAGCATCAATGCACTGAAAAAGGCAAATAAACCTAAATTATTAGGAAAATAATTTGACTCATGGACCCCCCTGAAAAATTCTCAGGCACCCCCCCCAAGGATTCTCAGATCACACTTTGAGAATAACTATTTTGCAATAATTAAAAAGAATGGACTCTGGTGTATGCAACAATGGATGCATCATATAGACATAATGTTGAACAAAAGAAGCCTGGCACAAAGGAGAGCATACTGAATAATTCAATTTATACAACTTTCAGAACAGGGAAAAGTATTCTATGGCATAAGAAGTCAGAATACTGGTTATCTCTGGGATGGGGAAGGAGATTAAGAAAGGTCATAGTGGAAAGTGGGATCACCTATATCTCGATTTAAGTGGTGGTTTGTGCATTTTACTGTATGGATGTTATACCTCAATAAAAATATAAAAAATTTTGTAAGTTCCTAATCTTTAACAGTTTTATATATTTTCCCCCTTGAATTTATATTTCAATTCCACTTCCATGCAGAATATTATTCTAATGAAACATACTTCTATATTTAAGTTTTTATTAAACATATTCTACTACCTTTACACAAAAAAACCATAGGCATATTCTCAAGCCAGTCAATTTTAGGGAAAAAGCCATAATGAAGCTGAGAATCTGAGAATTCTAGTTTGAGGATGATGGACCATAACATTTATTTGGCATTTCATACCTTAATTGTTAAATACCTTTCATTCTGTATATGGCTTATTTCACTAGAAAGTTTCTTAAAGGTAGGGATGCATCTTGGATCTTCCATAGCTGAGGACCTGACACTTTGTAGGTGGCTCACTGATTCATTTTCTCATTCATTCATGAGATGAAAATTTCTTCAGCATTTTATTTATGTTTAAGGCTTGCTAGGCTCTCTGCCTATAGTGATGGCTAAGTGCAGGGCTCAATAAATTCCCATTGATAACTGATTGATAATTATCAGCTACATTTCAGAAAGAGTATAATTCTCTTTTCTCTCAAAGTACAGGTGCACTACCTGTCTTATTAACCCCGTTGTAAAAATGGGAACACCAAGACACTGAGATTAATTAACTGACTCACTTAGGGTCATGCACTTCATCATGAGTCAAGGGAAGATTAAAACCCTTACACGTTCTTTTCTGGACTGAGGTGCTAAGGGAATTCATTCAAATTGACTAGAGTTCATATTTCATTTAAATGCTCTCATTTCACTTCTGCTACACCCACCTTCTCTGACTTGTATTTTAGGACCTGCAGTCTGAATTGGTTTACTTCTACTTCAGACTCTGTCAAGATATATTAGACACTGAGGGTCCATGACACCATCTGAAGTACAAGTGCTATTAGTTGAAAATACACAAGCAGTTTTATATTTCAATATAGTATAGCAATCCTTTGGAGAACCTGCTTTCTACTAAAAATGAAAGTGGGAATAATCAACCTAGGTGAATTTCGAAAATGTTAAAAAATTAAAATTTGATTTTACTATATATCCTCAGGTGGGTATAGCCAAAGGAAGGCAGATTAATAGTAAATATTTTTATCTGCTGCCAATGCATCTACAAACCATTCTGTTGAATAAGATCTGGCAGGTTCCTGACTGTGAGCAGAGATAGGGTAACAACTCTGATGATACATAAACTTGTATCAGATACAGGCTCCATTTTTTGCTGTAATCAACCATCCATAGCCTGGCCCGCTCAGCTGACAAGACATGTTATTAATAAAATGTACTGTACCACAAGTGCATTGCCCTACATGGTGTTTATCTTGTTGGAAAGTGTAATTGTCTGAAACAATAGCCTCTGTGAAAAGATACGTTACGAGCTGTGTAAAGATCAAAATAATTTCCACTAATAGTGGTAGTCGTTTGTGAAGAATTAAAACAGATTATGTTGCAGAGAGTTAACAACTGGGCCTTGCTTTTACTGTTCCTGTGAGAAGGCCTTGAATTTCATGCCATACCTTGTGGTGAAATAAAGATCCTCCACCAGAATGTAAACTCATTGAAGGCAGAGAATTCCAATTTATCTGTCAATGTCTCCCTAGCACATAGTGCAGTCCTTGAAAGAGTCAGCATTTAACATTTGTTAAGTAAAGAAAAAAAAATGAATGAATATGAGTATAGGGAAGAAATGGAACAAGTTTCAGGTTCAAGCCAAGCCAGTATCAGTGTTCCACCAGGTTGTAACTCAGAAAAATAGAGTGGGATCCAAACTCCAGGAGACTGGTATTCGTGGAGAGGGAGAGGGTAAAATGGAAGCAGTCTGAAATCAAGTTGCTGAGGATACCATGTGGCGCTCCCACATTGCTGAGGCAGACAGAGAAGCCCTACGTATAGAAAAGGATGAAGGTTGTCTTTGGTCCCTACCTCTCACCCCTGCCCCAGCCCCACTGGATAGGATCTGAACAAATTCTTGCATCTTTCAATCTGGATCCTCCTGGCACAACAAAAGGAGCTTCGGATCTCTAATTCTCACTAGTAGAATGCTGGATGGAACAGCCTGCAGGTAACTGCATGTGGCTTAGGGACCACTGTGAGGGGCTAGGACAAGAGCAAGGTCTTAGGGAGGTAGACAGATGGAGCACCAGATCCTGAAATGGAGCTGGGTTACTTCTCCATTGAGATAGTAAAAAAAGAATATGAAGGAAGGTAGAAAAATTTAGACGTTATGGAGGAGAGTAGATACAGAAACATTTTGAAGCAGAGAAAAGGAAAGTTGAGGGAACCTGCTGAGACCTAAACCACAGCCACTTTTCCTTATTTTTTTCCACGGCAAAATTTGATGTTGCTTTAATTATATCCTCCCACGTGCTCACAGAAAGTGATTTCTCTCTCTCCCAGCATGAGGGGTAAATTATGTTTGGCATCATACTTTCTACAAGCAGTTAGTTTAGGATGTGTATGTGACACAGTTCTGCCCAATGGGACTCAGTTCTGCCAGAGGCCTCCAGAAACTAGGATTATCCTTCCTTTACTGTGAGAAAGAGAGAGACAGAGAAAGACAGGAAGAGGTGGGAGACAATATCCCTCTTCTTTGGGCAATGCCCTTACTGCATCCGATGCCAAAAATGCAGAAGCTAGGGTGCAGCCTTGAAGGGAGATGGCAGGAGAGAGTGTCATCTGAGGATGGCAGAGCAGAAAGAATAACTCCCCTTGGGTCCTCGACAACATCCTTGAGTTACTCAATTAACCAATATAGGAACGACTTTCCATCAAACTTATTATTTTATGAGATAATAAATTCCTTCTCTTTCAAAAGCCACCACGAGTCAAGTTTTCTGTTGCTTGCACTTCTGTCGATAGCTTGATCTTTTCTTGTAAAGGTGAGAGCATGTGTTTGAATGTGAAATGTGGGATTTGAAAGTTTGAAACATATTTTAGCTTTCGCCTATAGCCTCCCTCCATCTTCTTCTCCCTCCCCCAACCCTTTCCCACATCTACTGGACTCAGATGAGGGCCAGGAGACACCAGACTGGACGCAGAAGGACCTCTCCATTTTTTCAAGATTTAGTCTTTCCCAGCTACAGCTGTGTTCGGCTCCTTCTTCACTAAGGACATATTCTGTCCCAGGAAGCTCCTCAGTCACTCCAGGAAACAGGCTTTTGGGGCCTTGCCCCATCAGTTCCACAGACATACCCAGATACATCTGAACCCCCAAGCCACAGCTTAGACTCAAATGGGGAGCCCCAACTGCAGCATCATTCTGTACCTATAGCTAGCAATGATTTGCGGCCCTTGAACACAAGTAGAGAATGAAAATGGCCAAGACTTAGGGATGGGAACTGGCACAGACATGGGAGAAGGTCTGAGAATGCAGGAATTAGCATGGCTTTACTAGATTATAAATCTTATGAAGACCACTTAGCACCCAGCACAGAACTCTGCAGCTACTGAGTTAAGTCTCCACACATGTGTATTAAATTTAATTGAAATGACCACTTTGTAGGCTGAAGGTCAAACGGCTTCCTTTTACAGAATCTTCTGTCCAGAGAATGCCTTTCAACCACCACCAACCACCTTCCCCGCAAAACAAAACCTTCAGTGTTTTCACCTCTGTTATCTAAGTTTATTTTTTATAACATAACTTTGAGACAGGCAGCAGTAAGAATAGTTTCAACTTACCAGGAGGAAACGAAGACACAAAGAGATGATCTGACTTGGCCACAGTCCCAGAGGGCATCCGTGGCAGAGCTAGGATGGTCTCTAAGTCCCTGGGGTCTCTCAAGCCATTGTTCTGATATCCCTGTATGTAATTGTTTTGATAGCAATTTCCCTGGTTCTCTCTCACTAGCCTGCTAATCACGCATGTCAATCACATTCAGGACGGCCATGGGCCTAAGGGTCAGCCAGTGTCTCAGGAGGACGGAATTCAAAAGGAAAAACAAGACACAATAGCGCACTTTCTCCTTCAAGCACGTATGTCAGTTGTGGCCTCATAAGTCTGACAGTGTGTGCAGGAGAGAGGGTTGCTTTTTTTTTTTTTTTCCTTCCCGATGGAGAAAGGATGTGTCGAGTGCTCTGACCACAGCAGAAAACCCAGTGAGAAATCCACCAGTTTAAGATCCTCTTACTAGAGAACACTCAAGGATATTGCAAGAGTTCTCCACCCACTCTCTAACGAATCAGGAGGGATATCCTCTTTCTTCCTCCTCAGCGAGTCTCGGTCGCTTCACTCCATCTGTTAGGCAAGCCTGGACGGTGGAGCAGGAGTGTAAACCTTGACACGGATGCTAATTACCCTTCCCCTACAGACCACTTGGCCTTCTTTCCTCATTTCACTTTCACTTTGGAGAGCCGCATCTGGGGCCCAGGAGACAGGGTCCAGGCTTGGCCCTGGAGAAGGCCCCGAGAAGAGGCGCGCGTGCGGCCGACAGGGCGGGGTGGGACGGGGAGCGTGCGCGGGGTGGAGGTTGTTCGCGTGAGGCGTGGATCCTGGAATGTGCGTGTGCGCGGCCCTCGAGCACCGCCTGCGCGGCGCCGATTGGCCGGGGGCGCGCGGCGGGGGAAGCCCTTGGCTAATCTGCCACTCAGCCCGGTCGACGTCGGCGCCGGGGCCGCAGCGCGGCGCGCGGAAGGACAAATAAATAGTCCCCGCGGCGGCACCGCGCGCCCCTCCACGGCTCGCCTCGCCCCGCCCGGGGCTGCCGGGGCCCGGAGGCCCGGGCAGGCAGGGGGAGGGGCGACCTCTGCGGCTGCTCGACCCCCGCTCCCCTCTTCGCGGCCTGATGAGTGGATTGCCCTCCCTTGGGAAAAGTAATTGGATTCCCGGCTCCCTCCAGCCGGGATGGGCGGAAATCGGAGGCTGAGCGTGCAGGTTGCGGGGGGTGGGTGGGGAGAAGAGAGGTCGGGGAGCAGCCGCATGGGAAGGAAACTTGGTGAAAGCCGCACTCCGCCCTGACGTGTTGGCGTGCTTCTTTCTGTACAGGCCCCGGTAGAAAGCTGGGTGGTAAGGAAGGATCAACGGAGGTTACCCCTGGTGCCCCAACCACCTGGCACGTGACTCTTGCCCCTCCAAGTTGTCATCATTCTGAAATTCACCTGGCTGCTGATCTCCGGGAAGAGAGATAATTTGGAACGTTTGGGTCTTCCAGCCACCACCACCTCGTTTTTCTCTCAGAGCTCTACTTGGAGCTAAGATGGAGAAAGAGCCCTGACAAATCTGGGATCGGAGATAATTCTTGTTAACGGGGGTACCTCGGGAGAAAATAACATTCTCACCAGAATCATCCAGGAAGGTATCTCAGGTCCTTGCTTTAGTATTAGCGAACTTCCCTAAATTGTTTTTCCTTTGGGGAGATGGAGCAGAAGTGGGAGCCTTAAGCAGTTTATGGCCGAAATGATAGTAGTGTACTAGGAATTTAAGTGACTAACTCATCCCTCTTGTGATTTTTTTTTTCCGCCTTATTTACTGTACTTCACTCATTCATTCGTCTTCAAACAAGCTTTAATTGGGGGCTTTCTATGTGCCATTCTCTGATGTACTTCCCAGAGATACATCAGTGAATAAAAGAAGTCCCTGCACTCATGGAATCTCATTACATTTCAGACAGTACATGTACAAACATATACAATATAATGTCATGTAGTGATGAATGCCATGAGGACAAAACAGAGTAAAAGGACAAAGATACAGGTGAGAGTAGTAGAGTAGTGTACTACTTTAGGTAAATTGATCTAGAAAGTCCTCTTTGATGAAGTTATGTTCAAAACAGCGGTCTGAATGAAATGAGGGAGAAAGCCAAGCAAATGTCTGGGGGAAGGAACTTTCCAGGCAGAGAAAAGAACAAGTACAAAGGCTCTCAGGCCAGAGTGTTTGGGGAGCTTGAATTAGTGGGAAGAAAGGAGGCTAACATGAATGCTATGCAATGAGCAGGAAAACAGAGATGGTCTTTCTGACGTCCTTCTTCCTCTGCTCCGATCTAACCCGTCAGAATAATCATTCTAAATCTTCACTTTTTGTACATCTCTTTGTGCTTTGATAGTTTCATGGCTATATTTTCTATTCCATTAAATTTAAATTCTTCTGACTGATTGTCAAGGTCTTTCCCCAATCTAGTTCCCTCTTAACCTGTGAACCATGTTTCAGTCTACTCCTTTAGTTCTAGTTAGGTCTGTCTCTCAAGTATATTCATGTTCACTTATTCTTATGTATATTTGTTTATGGATCTACCCTCACACAACTTAGTATTGATTCAGTAAGGATGTATGGTTGCAAGTGACATAAAATCCAACTCAAACTGGCTTAAATAGAAAAGGGAATTTATTGGCTCACATAACTGAATACTTCAAGATAGTTTTGTTAGACATGGCTTGGCTGAAGAGTTCAAATTATGTTGTCAAGATTTGGATTCTCCCTGACACGTTAGCTCTTTCCTCTGCTGTTGGCTTCATTCTCAAGCCCCACAAATGAACAACCAGCAACTCTAAGCTCACACTATCCTCACTACCAGCAAAGGTGAAGAACCTATTCCTAAACCAATCACTGTTGCTAGAGAAAGAGATGCTCAGATTGGCTTGCACTGATTGACAAGCCCATCTCAAAAGTTGAGTCTATCAGTAACACATGAATGGCACAAGAAGGTGCTTTTAGGAAAATAGGAGTATGGTTAACAGAGGAAGGGTAGATATGTCCTGGGTAATGAGAACAGCAGACATACCACACACCCCTGTTCTTCTCTTGATTCTTCTCAAACATTCTTCCACTACATATGCCTTCAAAATGTTTATGCCTATTCAATGCAATAATATTATTTACCACCAAAAATATGCTCACTTCCTCCCCAAAGAGAGATGATCCAAATTCTCATGTAGTTACTGAAGATAACTCCCAAGTGCAGGACAGGAGGGTAATAAGCATGTTTCTCTATTATACAACAATATAGTTCCTCAAGGTGTAGTAACCTAAGGCTACAAGATAAAATTAGCTACAAAAAAAAAAAAAAAAGCTACAAAATACTTAATACATAATGACAGAAAAAGAAAAAACCTGCAACAAAAACTCATATTTGGAAAAATGACTAATGGCAAACACATAGTGGTCTTTAATTCATAGCATATATCATGCTGGACAGAAACACCAAGGGCTTCCTACCATGAGAGAGGAGAAAGTTCTTTGATCAACACATCTGGCTGCCATATGTTCAACTATTGGAGAATCTCTCATCCATTGTTCCTCCATGCCATATCTGTAATGGACAGTGGGGAGTATAATCCTTCTAGGGACCACACCTCTTCAACATTCTCTTTCCTGATATAGTGGCAATTGAAAAAAAAAAAAACAAACTTGCTATTACAGAGATAATTAACTTTTACTACCAAATAGCTGTGATCCTCTTCTGTTATGTAGAATTGTTGCTAGGAAGTAGCTGCATAGGCAGGGACTACATTCTCCAGCTTCTCCTATTAATCTTGGCAAAGTCTTACAATTATCTCCTTTGGAATATGAGTGGAAGTGACATGAATCCCTTATTGCCAATGTGGTTAAGAACTAGGTATGTCTTCTATGGTTTCTTTTTCTTCCTCTAGCTGCACTGAGAGGACTCTAAGACCCTAGAGAATAGTCGTAAGAGAGCCATGAGATAGAAGGAGTCTGGGTAGCTGAATGACCTTGTAGAAGGCCACTTTCTAATCAGGAATACCGATATCGGACTTTGCAAAAGTGAAAAATAAACATCGGTAGTGTTAAGCCAATCAAACTTCTGCACTGTGTGTTAGAACACTTAGTGCTAACCCTAATAACTAGCCTTTATTCTCCAGACTTAGGATTTCTCTCACCATACAATTTACTTTACTTTTTTTTTTTTTTTAAGTAGGCTCTATGCCCAATGTGGGTCTTGAACTCATGACCCTGAGACCAAGAGTCCCATGCTCTGCAGACAGCCCGCCAGGTGCCACAATTTTCGTTACTTCTTACTAAGCTTCCAGTCTATTTGCATTTGGCCAATTTCATGGGGAAGAAAACCTCCAAAGCTAGATGTTATCTTAAGCTGCAGTCTTTGCATCTAGATTCCAATACGGGTATTTTTATCTTTCCATAATATGCCTTGTTATACTCCTTACTTAGTGGCCTCCATTTTGGTTTCTGCCTGAGAATGATTTGAAACAATAGCTACTAAAAAAATAAAATGAAAAAAAATAATAATAGCTACTAGTTTTGCAAGGGGGGACATGGGCATAGTGGTGCTGGAGGGAGTAGAATGGGATAATTATTACCTTTCTAAGCAGGCAGGAATTGCTTGAGAGAGGCCTGGGTGTGTTCAGACCTCTCCAAAGTGCCAGTCTTTTCCCTTTCTTGCCTTCATTGGCATTAAAATTCTCCTGGGGCTTTTCCAACTCTAATGGCTCCAGATTATTGAAATTTCTGTCATATTTGACTGAGCCCTTAGCAAAAATGGTCACTTATAACAAAGCAGTATTTTTCCCTCTCAGGCTTAGATAAATCAAGCTCAATCCTAAACTTGAGTCTTTCTTATAGGACCTAACTGAAAACCAACAGGCCAACATGTAATAGTTGGTGTACTCTAGTATCTGACCTTTTAGTGACATTTTTTACATTTCATACTTGATAGGCACATGTTTTGAATTCTAATATACAACAGGTGCCACTTTAATGTACTACTTTGCTATTGAATTCCCAACCCAATATAGATGAGGCCTCATCTGAATCAACTGATTCAACATTTTAAGATCTTTTACTTACTAATCCCCAGTTCTGATACCAATTTGTGAATTGTTAGAGCTATTTTAGTTGCAGGTGACAAAATAAAAAACACAAACTGACTTATACAAAAAAGAATATATTGGCTATCGGCTCACATAGCTAAGGAACTAGTGATATATTTAGCTTAAGGCATAGCTTGATCCAAGGGCTTAAGCAATGTCATTAGAATTCTATTTCGTTTCATCTCTTGGCTCTGTCTTCTGTGTTGGCTTCATTCTCAGGCTCCATATGGTGGCTCCTGGCAGCTCCAGTTCACATAATCCTTACTGTTAGGAATCTCAGTGGAAGAGTACATGCCTTTTTCCCAGAAGTGCCAGCAATAATCTCCTTATATTTTATTGGCTTTGATTAGGACATGTGACCAGAAGAATGACTACTCATGTTGTTAAGAGTGGAGTCCAGTCTCCCTAAAAGACGTTGACTGAGAGTAATAGAGGAAAACAGGGTATGGTTATCAAAAGAGTGAATGCTGAGTGGCAAAAAACCAAATGTCTCTCATTAGATACCAATGTGTAGCGATTCCTAATTGCTTCACATGTGTTGGTTTTATCTCCTTCAGTGGACTGTAAGTCTCTCTGGAGCAGGATCATGTATTATATGTCTTAACAGTGCCAGCCCAGCAGGCAGTCCTTAGATACTGGCTGATTGATTGCCTCTTCGTGGCACACCAAAGAGGGTAAAAAGAGCTTAATAAAAGG